GACTGAAAGGAAACACGAAAAATTAAGCAAAATTAACTTACATTTTGTAATGTGTCAGTCAGTTCACGTCGACGATTCCTGCACTTTGCCGCAGCCATTTTGTTACGTTCCCTTCTAATTCTACGCCGCTCAAGTTCCTCAGGGGATAGCTGGAGTGAGAAAGTAAAGCAAATATAATTAATATAATATAATATAATAATATTCATGCAGTAGTTGGACATTGTATGCATCTGTAATAAAATATTTAAAAAGTAAAAAAAAAAAAAAAGATAATAGTAATGAATAAAATAAAAATATATAAATTACAAAATAATTACAATTATAAAACCTTATGTCTAATTGGAACAATCGGAACCTAATTGGTCAACTAAATTTTTATAGTTATAAACATGTGAAAACACTGCCATCTAGGGGATGAGATTTTTAATTTCATTTAAAATTCACCAACTACTTTGAGGCAATGTTGCAATTTTCATCTCTGTAATTACTCTATTATGAATCCGATAATATATTGTGTTAATTAATTTCACGCTCTCTTTCTTTTGTGGGCATCATATGCAGTTTTCTGACCTTATATTGATGAATCACCTGCAAACACCCTAGTGACTCAAGTATGAGTCATAATATTTTACTCCAGTGAATCACATGATATCCCATTTCCTGTCTCATTATTTCACTCTCACCCTGCTGTACTCAAGACTTGGATGCATGAGTCAGGCAGGATTTCATGAGTTAATATTGAATGAGCATCTCTGGGTTTCCTCTAGGGTAGATGCTGTCTTGTAAATAGCATACAATAAAATCATAACATGAGAGTCTTACAAACAAAATTAACGTTTACAGCTGAACATATAGTTCAAACTCTTAAATAAGCCCAAATGAGATTCACACCCTGTATGTATCAGCAATCACGTTCAGAAGTACAGCCAGGTCACACACTACAGACTCACAACAGGATATTACACATTCTGGGTCTAGCACACTTTGATTTGGGTCATGCGTGAATAACACGCATGGCTGGTTTTGGTTTTGGTTTTGGCCAAGACCACCGGCAAAAATGGACAGGATGACAGGTGAACATAGTGACAAACCATGCTGTCACAGTCTCCCGTCATGACTCATCAACGCCTCATCACATAAACAGACTGACAGCTATTAAATTGGACTCACATGTTCATCATTTCTGCTTGTTGAGCTGCCAACGGCTGTAGCTGCTCTAATAACACCTGGCCGGGGCATGTGTGATTGGGAATTTTGAGGATTCATATATGGGATTCTTGGTGGCAGTGAGTAAGATGGTCGAAGTGCCCTGGATGGTCCCGGGGTGCCTAAAACAGAGGGCTGAAGCATCCATTGAAGGTCCTGGTTTGAAGTTATGGCATTGAGACTGGGCACAAACTGACTGGATCCTGCCACAGAATATTTCTGCTTCAAAGTACAAGAGACACAGACAATATATCATAAGTTACCAAGGCAGTGGCATTAGATATTTAGGGAGGAGGCTTTATTATATCTCATTATGACTCAAAAACCCATTGTTGTGTTTGCAGAAACACCCAGATAAAAACACCAACCTGAATCATTCAATCTTTTATTATTATTACTTTATTACTGTCTGCTCTGGGCTCTGTTTTGGCTATATTTATTTGGTCATTAATCCTAAACAGGGGTTCCTAAATGTACTCTGTGGGTCAACAGAGAAGACATTTAAAACACACAGGTTTTTACTTAGGTTACTTAGATGTTATATTAAGTTTCTAAATAAATAATGCTATGTTAAGACATGTCAGAATATGAATTACAACTAATTTCTAAATAAATGATATGTTGAGCATTTTAAGCATAGTGATATGTTAGTTAAAGTTCATATTTGGAGTTATAAAATGAACAATAGAAAATGATACCGTAACTGTCATTTATTATTCATAGTTGGTGAAATGTTCATTAAAACTGTACTGAAATCTTAAATTCTATTAAGAGTATAACATATGACCTTATTAGATATGAGAGAAAGACGCTTACCTGTTGTTGTTGAGTTGTGACAGTGGTTGTAGCGAGAGTCGCAGAGCTCGAGCCTGATCCAGAGCTGTTATCTGGGAAGGTCCGATCGATTCCTCTGCCCAGGTTTCCGTAGTTGTACATGTATGCCGGTGACTCTTCAGTAATCCAAAGGAAACTGTTGACTAAATCTGTGAACTCTGTGTCGCTGCCTACGTTTTTGGGTCTGCTTTCCCAAAAAGGTTCCTCCTACTTATATCACTGACAGTTCACGCGAAATTCAAAAGCAAGTTAAATATCCACCTTATTGCGGGAAAGCGGTAGAATCCACCACGATACGCCTGGGGGAGTCTAGAAACGTCTGTCAACGTTTAAAATGTTCATATTGCTGACAGAGGTAGAATAAATGTAAAAAAAATAACGTTTTATGATATGTATAATACAATTCTGGTTTTCTGCCAGACTGGTGATTCCGAGTGTTCACCAGAATATAAATAAGTGAGCAATAACTGTACAGTTTTCGCCCCTCCTATCTTACGGGAAATGGTGCTGCCTGTCTTGTGAATGACGTTTGGTCACATGGAAGATTACGTATATGACCATAAATGGGTTTTTCCGGGAACTCCTTCTGTTTGAGATAGTGATAGGCGCTCTCACAAGAAAGACTATTCTAAATCGAAACTTGAGCTTTTTACAGCAGCTTTCGTTATTTATTATGTAGCTATTTCTTCGGAAAAGTGTACAGGTCATTGTTTTTCTGTACTTAAACGCGGGTTTATGTTAACACTTAGTAAGCAGTGTGTGGACACGCCAACCAATTCACGTACTCTTCCAATGAGTAAATAAGAGTGGCTGGTCTTCCACAAGTGAAGTCGTGTGTACACGGTTTCAGTGGAGGGGCCACATTAAAGCACCATGCAGTGAATGAATGCCATGAATGGATGAAGGGTCATGAAACCAATTTCACAGCTTCTCACCATTTAGCTGAATCATCCCTACAGCAGTAAATAGGAAAATGATTCAGCTAAATGGTGTCAGGCAGTGAAATCTTGATTCATGATTTTCCTTCTCGTTTTTGAAAACCACAAACTGTTGGGCAGTTCACTGTAGACCTACAATCTAGTGTATTTTGGGCACAAATATTTTACAATCACAGAGCAGATACTTGAAGCAAGCTTGTGCTTTTTAGGTAAAATGCTCTCAGCCCAGTTTCCTGTTACAGTGTTCATACCAGTGTCTGGAATTTATTATTATTATTAGAAGTAGAAGTAGTAGTAAGGGGCAGTATTGGCCTTCTGGAAATGATTTGAGGGACATGTTTTATCTTATGAGAGTACTTTTAATCATACAGAAACACACATATACCAATATATCCCACACATATAGTTAATATATCTGAAATTATAAGAATTTTAAATCTGAACAATTATGACTGTTACCTATAAAACAACATCATCACCAACACCAAAAATTATTACAAGGGGCATTTAAATGTAATCTAGGGTCATTTTTTATTACATTTACTGGGATTTTTGACCTAGTCAAGCTCTTACCCTGGTCCCTCTGACATCATACTTAATTGCTGAATTACAGAGCAAATTTTGTATAAAATATGTTTATTTTGTGGGTCGGTCAAACAAAATTAATAACATGAAAACACAAAAACATACATTTATTATTATTATTATTTCATTTTATGAAGTTTATTTTTTGTAATATTTTTATTACTGTTCAAACCCAGTCACTGTTCTTTGTCACCGCTATTCAAGATCTGCTCCTTTTCAGCATCATTATGACTCATTTTTTAAACTGTTCAGTATGTTCAGTACAATGATCTGTTTGTGCCAAAGGAAACAATGTTTGTAAAAATGAAACCACAAGGCTGAAGTGGATATCTTATCTAAATGATATCTTGCCCATTTCATGTTTGAGGAATAATTGACTTGCTTTGGTATGATGTCACTGTTCCCTTTGTTTGATTAATGTCCCCCCCCCCCTCTTTTTTTAAATATTATATTGTGGTGCTATCTTTTTTTATATAATTATATTGTGGTATTATATTTCAGATTTCTTCTGGCAAGATCTGGTTGTAACCAGAGTGTTAGTGCCTCATTAGGTGAATTATGACCCAAGCAGAATGGAATGCTGTGATGACACTCCCCTTTTGCAACTCTCTGCAACATGCCTCAACATGCAGGCAAGGTGCATCTTACCCAGATAGGATGTGCTGTTACCCAAGGCTTGGTACTGATGCAAACAATTTATGTAGGCTATGATGACATTCTGGACACTAAGAAATTAATGGCACTCCCCACTGCCAGTTATTTCACGTATTCAACCAAATGTTGCTATTCTGTCATTTATCACAAAAATGTTAGAACTCCAGCACTATAGCAGATAATTTTCAGTATACCAAATAATAAGCGTAATATTCCTGACACACTTAGGTGTAATTAGTACATATTATGATATGCTTTATTTAAATCATTATTCTCACTGTAATGGACTTCAGCTGTGACATGATAGAAAGAATTGAATAAATTCTGCATCAACTCAACAAAGGAATGCCATAAATTATCATAAATTTATCTAGTGAATTGTTTTGCCAATTACAATGAATACGCTGGGGTGTCTCAACTTAATGACTGCACAAAAACAGTGGCTCATTTATTTAATTTTATTATTAAATTTATGTGGCACTCTTTTACACATTTAATGAATAAAGTAGGCTATATATATGAATAAAGTATATACATGTGTGTGTGTGTGTGTGTGTGTGTGTGTGTGTGTGAAAGCGTGTGAAGCTTAATAAATGTGAAGCTTAATTACCAGTGAAACTTAATAAACGCCACTGTTTTATGTATTTTCCTTTCGGTTGCCTAGTACTACGCAACCCCACTTTCTTTTGATTGCCTTGCTTACAGCCAATCAACATGAAAGAACTTCAGTCTACGCAACCGTCATTTTAACCAATGAAATTGTGAGGTTTTTCATCTCTGCCACGCAGGCACATTTCTCATCAGCCAATGAGAAGCCAGGCGAGGCGGGTGTAAGAGTGAAGGCGTACCTGTGAGTATAAGCTAACAAGAGAGCTTATTTAGAAAACTATATTTCACATTTAAATTATAAGTGACTACCGATCGTTTATATCCGCATCAAAATAAGTGTTTTTGTAATAATTCTGGTACTGCATTCAAGATTAATCTGACATGTTTTGTTAGACATCTTTCAGATTAGCTACATAGCAAGCTAGTGTATTATTAGTAGTGGCGGACTTTAATCGGTTGGATTGCAGATTTCTCTGGTGGTGAAGCTAATCAAATTGTTTTTGGAATTCAAAACGGCAGAGAAGATGGATTTCCAACAGCATGGATACCGGGCAAGTACGTATGAAAGAACTTAGTAAAAGATTGTTGTTCTTTGAGATACGTGGACAGCAACATACTGTTACCTTAAAATCAGCAAAGCCTAAATTGATCACATCACGAGCAGTTTGGCACTAAAGTACATTGCAGATTGTAAAGTAACTGATTAGACCTAATTAGATATCTTAGCTTGATGACCTGCTGTGTGAACTCTTTAATTCTTTGCCAAATCACATGTAAATAGTTACTAATATCACAGGTCATAGTTGAAGAATGAAATTGGAAGTGATACGATCCTAGTTTTGTTGATGCAGAAACAGCCATATATTTTATGTGAGAATTCTCTAAATGTGATGTTGCTTTATTAGTAATTAATTTTCTCTCTCTCTCTCAATTCAGCAAAGCCCAGAGCCAGAGCATCTCCGCCCATTGGGGGTCCGCTTCTTTTTGATGACACCAGTTCTGGGCCCCCACCCATGAACAACCAGAACTACTATAGTTCAGGATATAATATGGCTGATGCATCGGCAGGAGGTCAAGATCCTGGAGCGGGCAGCCTCTTTGCTGATCCAGTGGCCAGTGCTGCCATGATGTATGGCTCATCACTTGCCAATCAAGGCAAGGATATTGTGAACAAAGAGGTGAGATGCCATGTTTAACTTAAGGTATGACAGTGGTATGTTATTTTAATGATAAAGTGCAGTGCTGCTTTGTGTACAGCCGTTATCGGGGAAACCGCTATTTTTCTGCTGTTCCAAATTAATTAATTTGCATTTTTCCGTCGGATGGTTTTGTCAGACCAATGCAAAAATCGACCCATGTTATTATGCAGCAAACACGCAGTTGTAAATGTGAAAGAAGCTAATGTGCCTTCTAAAAATCTAAATAATTAAAACAGTAAAACATATTTTTATATATTTTAAATTAATATAATAATTTATACATTTGACTCACCCCTTTTCTTACAAATGTTTTAAAGGCTGAGATGTGACGTTTATTATTTTATAAGATTGTTTTTGTGAAAACCTGTATCTGAACTGTAAATCATGTAATTTTACGGTTTATTATGTTACCATAGACACTGCCCAACTCCACTCATACGGTGTTAATTTTATTTGTGCAGGTCTTAAAAAGGGTCATAAAAAGGCTTAAATTGATTTTTAAAAATTCTGGAGACACCCTGTAAATAGTGAAATAAAATTCTTTCCTTGATATGTGTTTTGAAAATGTTTTGATTGACATTTTGACGCCTATCCAATTTTATATATATATATATATATATATAATGGTCTTTTATATTTGGGCTAGTTGAATTCATTTCGGGCTACCAAAATCTGAAGAGTACCTGCCCAAAGCTCTACCAGGAATTTCGAAATTTTGCGAGCCCTGAATATATATTGTGTTATTTTTCTCTCACCTTGTAATCTCTTTGGCAGATCAACCGATTCATGTCGGTGAACAAGCTGAAATATTTCTTTGCTGTTGATACCAAATATGTATTGAAGAAACTGTTGCTTCTCATGTTCCCATACACGCATCAGGTAAAATATTAATTCCTGAATCAAAGAGGTAATTAATGTTTATTAACATTATTTTCTCATTTTAATTAGAATTGCTTTTTTACTGGACATTTTTAACTCTAAATATTCTTAGATATAAAGTTCATTAAATATAGCGTAAAAAGTTCATTTAAACAGTTTTAATATCTTGTCACTTTATTATAGATTAAATTGTCAAACTCGTCTTGCATCACCCAGATGCATTCAGAAAGCCAAATTTATAGCAAAATTTAAAAGGTTTATCTTGCACTTCTTTGAACAGGTTCAATATAAACTTTTTTTTTCTTTATGTATACTATGATATCATCAGGACTGGGAAGTACGTTACCACAGAGACACTCCTCTCATACCACGCCATGATGTCAATGCTCCAGATCTCTACATACCCAGTAATTCATTTTTTATTATTTATTCTGAGCAACCTGACAAATCGTTGATCTGTACTTACAACATTAATTATTAAAAATCTTGCAAATAATTTTAGAGAGCTTCGTTATGCCCCAAAACAAACATTAAGCAAGCAATATGTGAATGCAAACTCAAGCTCAATTTTTGTGCATTTTTGTGCCATTTTGTTGTTGCAAGTGCCACCGTAGTGGACTTTTCCATAAACTGTCTTCTCCTACAGCCAGTTTTCTCTTTCAGGTTAGCCAGGTCACATTTCGGCTCATGACAAAGCTTCTGTTGAAGAGAATCTTGCTGAGCAAGTTAGATTTTATAAACATGTTTATAGCTAGCTACCTGAAAAATAACTCATCCTAATGGTACAGACATTTGAAGGGAACTCTATTGCTCCCTTGAGTACCAGGATTTAATGCAAGAATGCACATTAAGTATGAGCAACAGTACCATGCTTTCAATGCGTTTGCCATGTAGTAATATCAGAAACCATGTATCTGTGAATTTATAGAGATGTTGTATTGTCTGCACTTGACTCTTGTTTTCATCATCAAACTTTTCTTTTGTTTTCATCTAGCAATGGCTTTTATCACCTACATTTTACTGGCTGGAATGGCTTTAGGAATCCAGAAACGGTGAGTAATAGTGGTTTTTATGGGAGAAACACACTGACATTTCCACTTTATGGACGTGCTTGGACATCCTAAAGGATTCATATAAAAATACAGTACATTTAATAAAATAATCTATTAGTTAACTAGCCTATAACTTTCAATAACCCTGATGTTGATCCTACTAAATGGGATTCATAACAGTACCTTCGGCACTGCCACATTCAAGTAATTTTTTTGAGAGTGTTGTAAATGAGACTTGTATATAATTAATAATTTTTACGTTTTCTCTACATGTTCAGGTTCAGTCCAGAGGTTCTGGGTTTGTGTGCAAGCACGGCTCTGGTTTGGATCATCATTGAAGTTCTTGTCATGTTGCTCAGTCTTTACTTGCTCACAGTTCACACAGACCTCTCAATGTTTGACCTTGTTGCTTACAGTGGATACAAATATGTGGGGTATGTTTCGATTGGATATTATAATGTATTTTACACGCCTGTGTAAGAGCCACATTTGTAGGGGGATCATGTGTTTTTATATTGCATTAAAGATGCCTTTTTTATTTTTCTTTGTTTTTTAGGATGATTTTCACAGTGTTGTGTGGACTGCTCTTTGGCAGTGATGGTTACTTCGTTGCTCTTGCTTGGTCTTCTTGTGCCCTCATGTTTTTTATTGTGAGTTTTGTTTAGGAATGTACCTACATATGGTGCTTACACATTTACGTTTTTCAACACATTTCTCCAATTAATTTCTTTATTTCTTTATTTATTTTTTTTAGGTTCGTTCTCTAAAAATGAAAATCCTGTCTTCATTCTCAGCAGACTCCATGGGTGCAGGAGCGAGTGCCAAGCCCCAATTTCGCTTGTACATAACCCTGGCATCAGCTGCCTTTCAGCCACTCATCATTTACTGGCTCACTGCTCATTTGGTCAGATGACCTACAGTATTTAAACTATGAAGGAACTTTCAAATGACAATGCTGGACTGGGATGGTTTTATTTTTTAGCATTGTTACAGAAAAGTGGCTTACCTTGATTGTGTTTTTATCCACAAAGGATTTATGGGGTCTGATCTTCAACACTGGCTCCGTCAGCAATGTCATCTGCAGATCAGTTGTTGAAAATATAATTTAATATTTTTACAGGATTGTGTTTTTCTGTTGTTGAAAATGGGAAAATAACAGTTGGACTGCTCTTGTGTCTTCGCCATGCTGCTTTAGTGTCACAAAATCCAGACTTCATTTTAAGAGGCATGCTGATTTATCTGCCCTGTGTTGTGATTCTTGTGTGATGTGCAATTGGTGAACACATGATCAACTCAAGTGTCCTTCTTTCTTCTGTGCATGAACAGCTGTTTTCTTCTTTATAGCAAAATAAATCCCATAAATTCGACTTTTAAGGTGTGTAGAATTGTTTTCATCTTGTCAATTAAAATATCTGATATGTTATACAATTATATAGCCTACAAACAATACGACGTGATCGATTAGGCGCAATAAGACGTGTGATAGGACGTTTGAGTTTAGCTGCTGTAAACACTGGGACAAAACCCTGCATGCGTGTACAAAAGATAAACATAAGATGCTTTTCCACCAAATATATGGGTACCAACGGCCAACATTAAGGCCCAAAATAAAATTTCATCCAGCACCTCGCCGAGTGTCTCTTTAAGGACGGGTCGCAGGAGGCGCGCCGGCTGCAAAGCGTCCTTCTGGTTTCCAAGGAAACGTGGGAAAGGACAGAACGCAGACAGGACGGGACAGTGCGAGACATAGCTTCTTTTACAGATATTTTAACATAAACTTAAAACTTATAAGAGAACAGAATCGGAAATTGGATGCTATAAATTCATCCCTATACTTATTTAGGTGAGTTTTTCGCTCTTATTTTGCTCTTTTGTCTTGACATTAAGGCTTCACGCGAGCATGAATGCTTGGGCAATTATTCTAAACGTAACTTAATATTCTTGCGCCATTTTCTAAGGTGTATAGACCATGTGGCTTGGCTTTCTGTGTCTGTCGTGATAGAATAATCGATTTGTTAAAATTCTCTTTAAGTTTGTTTAGCGCCACTTGAATGGTGTGTTATTTCTCGGTTGACTACCTCGCTCAATCATTTACTCGGTTGTGCAGTCAGTATTGAAAAAAGAAATGATACTTCTATGGCAGGGCACTGACTTTTATGGCCTCCTTCCTGGGTTTAATAACTTAACTATTTGTTTGTTTGTTTATTTGTGAAAAGGGCTTCTCTGTGTGCTTGCTTAAAAAAAGCATTTTAAAGGACATGTTTGAATGTGTGTACATATGCACAATGCATTAATATTACTCTGTTTGTGTGTTTCTGCAGTTCAACAGGTGAATGTGTGGGCCTGTATCTTGCAGCTGGGAGACAGATGGAGAAACACACACAAGCACTGCCACCCCATTCTCCTCTACATTCCCCCCAAAGTGATTCAGAAGCTCTGTCTCGATCCCCCTCTCTTCCACAGCCTGCCGCTGTTCAGCTCGCGTCCCTCCCTTCCTCCCTAACCACCCCAGCCTCCTATCTATACTCAGCCCCTCGGGCATCTGGAGGGTCACACTGCCTCAGTCCCTCCACAGTATCTGACCAGGATGACCTGACCTGCCTCAGCTGGCTGCATCAAAGAGGGAACCTGTTGCCCCTGCAGCCACTGCCCAAAATCACAGCACTGCCCCAGACATTAGACCCGATTCCTGTCCAACAGCTGCCTTCTTCCCCTGCCAAACCCCCGTACTCTTTTAGCAGCCTCATCTTCATGGCAATAGAAGATTCGCCTGAGAAGAGGCTTCCTGTGAAAGGTATTTATCAGTGGATTGTCGACAACTTCCCCTATTATAGAGAGGCTCCCGGTGGATGGAGGAACTCTGTCCGACACAACTTGTCCTTGAGCAAGAGCTTCCAACGAATACATCGAGACAAGAGTCAAGTGCGTCAGACTTCCAGTCAGAACTTTCTGATCTCTTAGTCTATATTGATTAGTTGTTTAATGAAATATTCCTGCTTTGTTTTGCAGTCCGTTGGAAAGGGCTCATTATGGCGTGTTTGTCCAGAATATCGGCCAGCTCTTCTGGAAGTTCTTAGAAAAACACATTATTGTCATCGTACCAACAGCAGCTTGCTGAACAAGCGTGTTTTGTGAGTTTGATTTGCTTTCTTATGACACACCACCTCCATAAGGCTTCATATTGAATTATCTGATGTATCATGCACAACGTCAGAGGAACAAATGACTCTTTCTTTGTGATACTGATACATGCATATCTGACCTCCATTCTGAACAGGTTGGAGGTGGCTGATAATGGGCTGAACACCTTGGGTGATACCATGGAAATGTCAGGTAACTCTAGTTAAATTTAACATACTGGAATGAGGATGCTTTAACAAAAAGTTAAATGTAATTTAGAGTTCAGCCTTGATTGAAAATTTATCTTTGGTCTCATCTCGTCATACCAACAAACAATCAATTACACATACAACACAACAGACCTAAACACCTAGAATACCATAAAAACAGCACGGTTATAAATAAATACTAAATCTAGCAGCATGAAACAGACATGTTAAACAGTTTTTAAAAGACAGTGTAGAAGTATATACACTACTATTCAAAAGTATTTTATGCTCACCTAAGCTGCGTTTATTTGATTAAATGTACAGAAAAAACAGTAATGTTGTGAAATATTATTACAACTTAAAAGAACCGTTTTCTATTTTAATATTTTTTTAAATGTAATTTATTCCTGTGATGCAAAGCTGAATTTTCAGCATCATTACTCCAGTCTTCAGTGTCACATGATCCTTCAGAAATCATTCTAATATACAGATTTGCTGCTCAAGAAACATTATCAATGTTGAAAATAGTTGTTCTGCCGTGATACATTTTTTTAGGATTCTTTGATGAGGAGAAAGTTTATAATCTCATTATGTCATATCATTTATCATATCATTATAAATGTCTTTAACGTCACCTTTAATCAATTTGTGTCCTTGCTGAATGACAGTATTAATTCTTAAAGACCCCAAACTTTTAAATGATAGTGTGTGATATGGTGCTTCTCTTGCATGCACTTTTTTGTTTGCTAGCCTTTATCTACTTTTTCCAGACACGGTATGTTTGAGAGCTGTTGTCTTGGTAATGGCCGGACATTACCCTAGCAACCTATAGCCACGTTGACAATAATGGCCTTCCTCTCTATGTCAGGCTGTTTTACTACAGGGTCACTTAAGTAAAGAAGTCTCACATAACAGATGGTTTTCTCTCTTGATTTGCAAAGATCTTTCACCGTACAGTACTAATTAATTAGTAATAATACAGTGACTGGGAATTGTTAGTGTTTTTTGTGTTTTATTCAGAAGAGTGTCACAGAGAGTGACTGACAAAATTCAGACCCGTTCTTACACTTAACTTATGTATGGTATATTCCATCACATTAACTGTTCCTTTTCACTGTTCCTCAGATCTAGATTTTCTGTCTTCAAACCCGCCGGGCTCTTTGACACCAGATCACGAGGAGCTGGTCCCCATGGAGTCTGTGGAACTGACAGAGGTTGCCGGCGAGGATTCAGATAAAGATCCATTGGCAGACAGTGGTTACATTGAGTTACACTATTATCAGTATCAGCAGTATCAGTACCTGGTTCTTCCAGAAGACACTGAGTTGGACCTGGAGACGGTTGAGATACTGCAGCTTGATGCAGAGGCTCAGGAGGCTGCAGGGTCACTGCTTGACCTCGCGGGAGGCAACCTCTGAGAGCTTACCTGTGTGCTGTGTACAAGCAAGGAGGGTTAATGGGGAGATGGGGCCACTGTGAGAACTCTAGGCTTGATGTACTATCGGCACTTTATAACTGCCTGAACTTTACTTACTGTCATAAAAGGTGCAACATAAGCAATTCCAAATAATCTAGTGATTTGAAAAGACATTTGTAGGGACTGACAACAGCACTGTGAGGGTCCTGTGAGGGTATCCTTGGTATTAGTGTATAATAGGTAATAAAGCATCTGCAAAATGCTTTCATAAAGAACAAAATATTTATTGTTTATTGTCATGGTTGAAAGGTAATATTGAATGCACTGACTTCCATGCCTTTTTAAGTCCCTTCCATTAAGATTATTCTAAAGATTTGTTGTTCGACATTCAAATTAGAGGGATAAAGTTCTGATGTGATTTTTTTTAAGAAAATACGTTTTTTTTTTTTGTTTTTTTACAGTATGAAATTGTTCAGAATTATGAACATGTTCAAGTATTATTGATATAAACTGCCAGCTCTTAGATTGGGTAGATGGAAAGATTAATATCTAACCCTTATTTCTTGTTGATTATTGTCATGCTACATCATTCTGTAGCTATTAGTTTTTTGTGTAATAAGATGCATGTCATATTTTGCTTTATTGACGTGTTTATTTTATTTTTTTAGTTTAGTATGTTTAACAGGTTGACGCTAAATAACACTCTGACCCCATCCTCTTCATGTGTATCTCATGTAGCAATAAAGTACTAAAATGTTATGATGAAATCATTGCCTGATTTAACCTGTGAGTACTTAGTAATAATTAGTGAGCACTTAGTAGATCGCAGATTGCAACTAGAAGACATTGGGGAATTAATCTGTGAAGTTATTAATGTCTTATGGCTTCATTTATGAAAATGACACATCTTAACCTTTAGGTAGTGGTTGCTCTAGAGTGGCCTCCTCCATTAATGTGGGTAATTGAGAGAAAAAGGCCAGTGTTCTGAATATCTGGCCTACCTACTCAAAATGACCTACCAGTAGTTTAACCTGTCATAAGCAAAGCTACAACATAAGGCATAAAAACTGTCTAGATGCACTACTAATGTAATAGATGTGCCGTAAAAGTGAATAACACCTTTTCAGCCTATCAGGATATGCTGTCACCATAGGTAGACTACCCACAACCCCACCCCACCCAACCTGAACCATATCATTAAAAGGATGTAGTGTGGGTGGGTCAACCTGAGAGGCAGGTCAGATTTTCAGTACGCCTTCTATGTATGTGATCTTTTTAAATGTATTAGTATTTCACTCACCCTTACCTAATGGATCATTTGTATTAATTTGACAATTTACTGCCAAAAACGTACATATAAAAGGAAGCAAATAATTATAAAAGTATAAATATTTTTCTTATAGCTTTAGGATGTAGAATCAGCTGATCAAACGGAAATAAAAGTAGAAATGTTTCATTTTGAGCATGTGCTATAACAAACACATTTAGCTTAAGCTCTGCACACACCAGAAGCTGTTGTGTAATGTAGTAAATGAGATGTGTTCATGGGTGGTTCTTGGTCCTGGCTACACTAAAAGTGAAGGCTGCCATACCAGTGTGACTCATTATGGAAAACCTAGGAGACAC